TCAAAAGGTTTATCTTTTAAAATTTGTTAATATGGTGAATTATATTATTGATTTTTAAATGTTAAACCATTCTTGCCTTTCTCAGATAAACCCTGGTTGGTCAGGATTATCATCTTTTTATATGGCGTTGAACTTGATCTGTTACAATTCCCTAAAGAATGTTTACATCAGTGTTCATAAGGGATATTGGCCTATTTTTTTCTGTAATATCTTTGTTCAGTGTTGGTATCAGGGTAATGCTAGCCTCATATAATATGGTAGGAAGCATTTCCTACTCTTCAATTTTCTGCAAGAGTCTGTGTAGAATTGGTATTACTCATTCTTTAAATATTTGATAGAATTCATCAATTTAGCTCTGCGGACCTGAAGTCTTCTTGTGCAAAGATTTTTTGTTTAACTATCAGGTCAATTTCTTTAGCAGATATAGAATTATTCATGTAATCTGTCTCTCCTTGAGTGAGCTTTGGTATTTAGTGTTTTTCAAGAAATTGGTTCATCTAATCTAAATTGTCAAATTTGTTGGCATAAAGTTATTCATAATATTCTCTTATTAGCCTTTTAATATCTAGAGTATCTGTAATGATATCACCTCACATTGCTGATACTGTAATTTATATCTTCTCTCTTTATTGATCTTCTCAAGGAGCCAGTTGTTAGTTTTGTTGATTTTCTCCATTGCCTTTCTGTTTTCTATTTCATTTTTTCTTTTCTGATCCTTATTATTTTTTTCTCCCTACTTTGGGTTTAATTTGTATTTATTTTTCTTGTTTCTTAAGGTAAAATCTGAGGTCATTGATTTGAGCCCTTTCTTCTTTCCTAGTATATATGATTACTGCTATCAATTTTTTCTCAGTACTGCTTTAGCAGTATCCCACAAAATTTGATATATTGTGATTTTTTTTCATTTAGTTCACTATACTTTTTCATTTCTCCTTTCCTTTTTTTTTTTCTTTCGCCCATGGGTTGTTTAGAAGTGTTTAACTCTCTTTCCAAATACTTGGACATTTTCCAGAGGTCTCTCTGTTATTGGTTTCTAATGTAATTCCACTGTGGTCAGAGTACATACTTTGTACAAATTGAATCCTTTTAAATTCATTAAGACTGATTTTGTGCCCCAGAATATGGATTATCTTGGTCAGTATTCCACGTGTATTTGAAAAGTATATTTAGCTGTCGTTGGGTGGAATGTTCTATAAATGTCAATTAAGTCAAGATGGTTGATAGTGTTGTTCAAGTCATCTGTATCCTTATAGATTTCTGTCAACTTGTTTTATAAATTATTGAGAAAGAAAGTTATTGAAATCTTTGGATATCATTATGACTTTGCTGTTTTTCCTTGCAGTTCAATCAGTTTTTGCTTTGTGTATTTCGAAGCTCTGCTATTAGACACATAAATGTTTAGCATTATTATAGCATGTTGACCTTTTATCCATATGAAATGACTTTTTAATTCCCATTAATATTCTTCCTTCTGCAATCCGTTTTGCCTGATATTAATATGCAATATTCTCTTAACTAATGTTAATGTGTTATATCTTTTTCCAGCCTTTTACTTTTAACTGTTTGTGTCTTTATGTGTAAAACACATTTCTCGTAAGCAGGATATAGTTGAGTTTCCTCAACATAGGCAGTCTACCAAACTGTGCCTGTGTTTCCTAAAAACTCTTTAGACAATAAGACAGGGCAAACTTGGGGCTCATTTTGTTTCTTTCCTCTCTCTCAGGAGCAGAGCATGAACTAGAGTAAGATGAGTGAAGCCCCTATGATAAAAAAAATTTAGGACAGAAATCACTGTCAGGTGCACAATTTTGCGAGCAAAAGCCTCCTTAGATTTTGTACCCTAAGCAGCTGACTCTTGGGCAGGTACTAATTCTCAGGGTTGTGTAGGCTCAGGGTTAGGTCCTGAGAGTAAATGTCTTTTAAAATCCTGTTCTGTAGGGGCTTCACTCAGCTCAGTATAGTCCTGCCCCTGCTTAAGGATTACCATCCGTCATTCTTGATGTCTTGAAAACCATTTTTAAAGTTATATTCTCTCTGGATTTTTGGTTATTTCAATCGGAAGGGTAAATCCAGCCTCTGATCTACGTCTTTTCTGGAAACAGAAGTCTAGACTTACTCATTATAAGATAAAAATTCCACATATAGAGCTACCTGCCTGAAATAAAAATGCTTGCGGGCCGTCCTCTGAAGACTTCAGCAAAAGATTCGTCTTCCTTCACACAATGGTCAGTGAGTACCTACTGTGTACCATATTCTAGGCTAGAAACTGGTGGTAAAATCAGATAAGACATGTGCCTGTCTGCTGGTTGTTCATAGCTGACTTCTCTAGAACTACTAGTTGACTCTTTCATGTCATGCATCACCTGTTAACAGGTGGGCAGAGGTCGAGGGAAAGTGGTCTAGGGAAGATGGAAAGCCAGCAAGCATCAGATCTGGAACTAAGAAATCCTCTCTACTATTTCTCAGGCCCAGAGTGACTTGAGGGCTCACTTAAGGTCACACAGCTATTTAATAGTAGTTGATTGCCACAGAGTTTATTTAGGACTCAATCTAAAACATTTTCCCCCACTGTCAGTCACCATTATTGAAATCCCACCATTAGAGACTCTCAGAGACTCATTCATTAAGGGCAGGGACCATGTCCTACTCACTATGTCACCTAACACTATTTCTCAGTGTTAGCTCAGAGCTTGCTGCATAGTAATCCGTAGATGGAAATAAATGAATGGATGAATGAATGAATGAATTAAAGACATTCCCATTAAAATGATGAATATGCCTCTGGGAGGTGATTTAGATCAGTTGGTGATGAGTACCCTGTTAAGAGCAAGCCCGCAACTGGGTCTCAGGAAGGTGATGTGGTGGAGCAGAAGAGGCCTCTGATTGTGCTAGACTTTGATCCAAATTAACCTCTCTCCAGAATTCAGCTTCCTCATCTGTATGATGGGAATCCTAATTATACTTACCGTATGGGAGGATGTCAGGTTCAATAGGAGGAAGTATGGTAGGGGCCTGGCAAGAGAAAGCACTCAAGGAATGACAGATATTATTAATCTCATCTCCTGGGAGCAGCAGGTGGGAGTAGGGTGGGGCCTACTGGGTGCAGAGACCTTGCAGATAGAGTCCCGGCAAGGTCCCAGGAAGACAACAGCCTGTTCTGCTCCTGTGCTATATTTACAGAAGCTCACGTTACCACCATCGTTATCCAAAAGCCCTTGCAAAGCCAGCACTGCATGCAGGTGGGTTGAACAATGCACATAAAAGCCACGAAGACACAGCCCTGCCTCCTCAGGCTTACATCCAAGGCAGCTCCCTCTGGGGAAGACAGAATAGAAATGTGAAATCTGCTTAGGATTCGGTGATGGTCAGTACACACACACAGGGATGACAAGAAAGAACATTTCCCGAGGACAGGGCTGGTCAGATGGGTCAGAGTGGGAATTACATGTTCAGCCACGCGGAGCGAGATGTGTAGTCTGCTCTGCCTGTCAAGGTCCTGTTGCATGAAGTTCATTCCTGATGCCAGGAGCTCTTCCAGCTCTGGCCCCCAGCTCCTGACAAATCTGGTAAAGGGAAGATGGTCACTGAAATCAACAGATTTTTAGATTGCTTTGGACATGGTATAGCTGAGCCAGAGGCCCAGGGCCTGGTAATCAGAGAAACCTGCCTGGTGATTCACTTATTTTCCTCCTTTCTTACTCACATGGACACAGGAAATATGATCCAGGGCATCACGTTCTCCAGCTTGCCACAAAATGCATGACAGTGCATATCTCTATTTTTAAATCCAAATGTGATCATGTATTTAAAATTTGGACCTATTCTGCTTCCAAAAAGTCTTCAGATGGAAAAAAACAATCCAAGGATGTTATTATTTCCTTTTATCCCATGAACTCAGTTTTTTATTAATAACATTTACAATTAATAGCATTTTATGATGTGGGGATTTCACAGACTTACAGATGATCAGAACTAGAAGGGACCTTAATGATAAACAGGTCCAGTCTCCTCATACGGGTAAGGATACTGAGGCCCAGTCAGGTACCGACTTGTTCAAGGTCATATAAGCAGCAGTGGAGTCCAGACTGGAAGCCAGGTTTCTGTATGCTGTCTTCCACATCACATTGCAAGATACCCTCTGAAAACACTCCTTCAGGGTCTTTAAGGTCTGATTGAGGTGTATGATTTGTGATTCTTTTTGGGCTGAAAACAGCCTTGGGCATCACCAAACCAGGCCTGGCAAGTCCTGTGCAACATGAAGCTCCTTGAGAATGGGGCACATTTTCTCCTACTTAAACTGCAGAGCTCACAGCTGTGGCAGAGGTCTATGACATTGAGTAAGAGCTCACCAAGAACCGGTTGACTGTGAATGATGTAGGAGCAAGTGCATCTGCCTGAGGAGAGCTTTCCACCCTCGGCAATGCTGAGGAGTCACGACAGGGTGGGATTAAGATCCTACAAGTTATACAAGCTTGGATTGCCATCTCAGCTTTTGTAGTAATTTGTTGTGTGATATTGGGCAAGTCACTCAACCTCTCTGAGCCTTAGTTTTCACATTGCTAAAATGAAGATGATAATGGCTATGTCAGAGAGATGTGAGAATTACATGGAAAAAATGTATATAGAGGCCATGGCATGGTGTCTAAGTGAACGCTCTATAAATGGCAGCTGGTCTCTCAGGATCTGTTTTGTTGTTGTTTGGTTGTTTAAATTGGGAGAAATTATTTTTGGGCTTCCCCTATTCCATCTCCTTTCAATCTGGAGATGTCTGTCTTCTTTCTGCACTCTTCCCTTCTCCCGTTGATGGACTTGCCGATCTATTAGTGATCATGGAATATTTTCCCCTTGTCCTGAGCTTTTGCTAATTAAGAGGTGGTTGCTAAGAGATGCCTGGACACACTGGTGGGTGGCTCTGTGCTTCCTTCTCATCCCCTCTTGTTCTTTTTCAGCCTCACTCCAACCCACCACACCCACTTCTCTCTCCCATTTTCCATGTTCAGGTTCTGAAAAAGACTTCAAGAAACTGACTAATCTCAATGGCTGCCCCTGATGGGAGGGTAGTCTCCAGACCCCAAAGACTTGGTCAGGGGTCTGGCCGGGGGCCAAAGGGGCGTGGAGCCTGCCTGCATCCCCTGGACAGCCTGGAGCAGAAGGAGACTCAGGAGCAGACGCCGGGCCAGCTAGACATGCTGAGGAAGGCACAGGAATTCTTTCAGACCTGTGATGCTGAAGGCAAGGGCTTCATCGCCAGGAAGGATATGCAGGTAAGTGGGGTCCCCGGTAGGTCTGCCCACCGAGAATGCCAAATGTCTCCCTGTCTCGGGTTAGAGCTTGCCCCATGGGAGGTCACATCCTTAACAGAAAAGGTGCCATCAGTTCTGTCTTGGAAGGAAAGGTCTGACCAAACTCTACTAGGAACGGGACCTCCTGGGTTCATTCTATTTCTGGCCTTTACTTGCTGTCAGACTCCAGGGCTCTTTTCTCTCTGCCTCGGTAACTTTCCGGGATTGTGGGAAATGATAATAGTAACATAAGGGACTTAAGTAAGACACAGAGAAGAACCTTCTGAAACTGAAAGTAGAAAGGCACCAACTTGAGTTATAACAAAGTCATTCCTGCTGTCTGTGCCTTAGGAATAGGTACAGTGTCTCCCACAACCTGGGAGGAAGGCATTTCTGAGGTTGTCTTATCCGTCTCTCACCTTCAAACCCAAACACACTGCACTCTCCTGAAGAGATTCTCCAGAGAGATGGTGTGCAGAGCATCAGTGCACACCATTGCCTAGTGCAGTGCCCGGCAGCCTTTTTATAAAGGTCCAGAGAATAAGTATTTTCCGCTTTGTGGACCTTACAGTCTCTATCACAGCTACTCGTCTCTGCTTTTGCAGCACAAAAGCATCCATAGGCAATACGTGAACAAATGAGGGTGCCGTGTTCCAATAAAACTTTATGGACAAGGAAGTTTGAATTTTATATAATTTCCGTGTGTCACCAAGTACAGTTATTCTTTCGATATTTCTTTTTGACCATTTAAAAATGTAAAAACCAGGCTTAGCTCACTAGCCACACCAAAATAGGGGATTGCTGGGTTAGCCCAGGGGCAGAGTTTGCCCACTCCTGGTCTGGTGCCTTTCTTTCTTTAGTTTCACAAACTTCTCAGTGTGTGACTAAAGTCTGTTATGCTGCAGTCAGGATTTCACTTGAACGTGGGTGAATAAAACACAGACTCCACTAGAGTACTTTCAAAGCAGCTCTTTTCCCCTCCGTCTTTGTGTCACTCACTCCATCAGAGTAGTTTTTGAAGGGACGCATCCCTGTGCTGTTGGAGGAAGCACAATGGCTAGGCTCTCTTTAAGTCTAGTTCTTCAGAATATACCAAAGTCGGGCAATGAAATGTAGAGACCGTCATTAGGCTCAGCCCCATCTCTGCTTGTGCATGTGAGCTCTGAGGTATGGAGGCTATGAAAGGAGCCTTGTGACCCTAGGTGAAGTGTGGCAGTTCTTCCTCTCCCTGGCCCCATGTGATGGTGTTCTTATGCTTCTCCTGGCGCTCTTCCACTGTCCACCTGGTGCACGAATTGAGGGAGAAGACCTGGGGAACAGCACCAGCTCAGCCCACAAATGAGCCCAGCCCACCCTTCTTTGCAGTGATGACTCCCCCAGTAAGTTTCTGTCCCCAAAACCCAGTCCCCAAAGCCTCACCACGTGGAAGGCCAGATTCAGTGTGTTTTGAGGAAACCTTTGACAAACCCCTGTCTGTGAACTTCGTAATTGGCATTCACAGGTCTGCAGTAGCGGTGGTTGGTGGTGGTGGTGGTTTCAAAATCAGGCTTAACTTTTGATTATTCCCTCTAGAAAGAAAGAAAAGGAAATTCACATTTATGGAGGGTCAACTCTGGGCCACATGTGCTGTGCCACTCAGCACTCTTGCTGTATATAACCGAACTCTCATTGAGCCCCACTCTTTAATGAAGGATGAGGAGTCATGGAGAATTGCAACTAGGTATAAATTTTTAAAGAAATCACTTGTATTTGACTTGAAATATAGTCAGAAACATTAAGTCCCAGAAATACTGACTCCGCCTTCCTCCCCAGTCCCCACTCCTGATCCAGGCAGGAGGACGCCTGAACCAACAAGCCGTCAAGCCAATAACTTGGCATCCATGGCATTTATTTCCGCTGTCTACTTAATTTTCTGATGCTTTTCTGAACCTGTGGTCAATGAAGCATTTGAAATGTTTAGTTCTTCCGGCTGGCAAGTGCTGTCAAGAGAGGGAACAGAGCATGTTATTTAAGCACCATCTCTGGCTGCTTCCGCTGGCCACCTCTGAAGGAAGATAGGCTGGGGGAGATGCATGAAGAAGAAGAAAAACGGGGCTTCTCATGGTCAGCTGTGGCTCTCTGCAGAAAGTCCCCATGCCCCTTGGTTCTCCTGCAGCAGGTCCTCCAGGCATCTGTGTTGTCGGCTTCTCACTTCCACATGGGGCCGTGGTGTACATGTGGTCACCGCCTTTGGCTGGTGTCCAACTTCCTGGGCCTGGGCACCACCGCCTTTTTTACCTTAGGCTTCCAGCACAGCATCATGGGAACTGGAAGGGAAAGAGCACATTTTTCATACACATACAAATTCAGAAAGCAGGAAAGGTCCTTGACAGCAGAGAGTGGTCTTCAAGGAAGGAGAGGCCACAGGCCAGGTGGGAGGAAGAACACAGGAGGCTGAGGAGCTAATGGAGAAGCCAAGTGGGAAGAAAGTCACAGACAGGGGGAGGGAGATGGGGAGAGGATGGGCAGGAGATCTCTCTGAGAAAACCTAGAGCCTCAAAAGCCCTGTTTCCCTGAATTTTTTGGAGGAGTAAAAGGATTATCTACCAACACCAAGCACCTGCCTCCCCAACACTGCCCAGAATTCTTGGCTATGCCAAACTTAAGAGTCATTTAGGAGTTGGCAAACTAACCAAATCTGGGCCACTACCTGTTTTTGGAAGTAAAGTTTTCTTGGAGCACAGATGTGCTCATTCTTTTATGTGTTTTCCATGGCTTCTTTCACACTGCAGTGGCAGAGTGAAGTAGTTGTGACAAAGACCGAATGGCCCACACAGCCTAAAATATGCACTCGCTGTGGCTGTTTTCAGAAAAAGCCAGCTAACTCCTGATTTAGGTTAACTAGAAAACTTTAAAAGATTTTTATAGCAAATTAACTTGGGTTTTAATCCTCAATCTGCAACTTGCTAGTAATACGAATGTGTGTGAATCTCTTAACCCCTCTAGGCTACAGTTTCTCAGCTGTGAATTATTTATAGCTACCTCCCAGCATTAAAAGAGAATTGAATGAGCTTAAGCATGTAGCACACTCAGCCCTGAGACTGGGACCTGGAAATCCCTGGAAATGCACTGTGTATGTGCCACGTCTTAGCCCAGTCCCTGATGTCCTCTGCACTGTGATTGTGTTTAACTGTGGTAAGATACAGATAGCACACAATTTACCATCGTAACCATTTTTTAAGTGTGCAGTTCAGTGACATTAAGTACTTTCACTTTCTTCTGCAACCGCCATTATCATATATCTACAGAACTCTTTTTATCATGCAAAACAGAAACTCTGTGCCCATGAAACAATGTCCTCATTTCGCCTACTCCCAGCCCCTGGCAACCACCGTTCTATTTTCTGTCTCTCTGAATTGGACTACTCAAGGTATCCTATATAGGTGGATTTATATAATATTTGTCCTGTTGTGACTGGCTTAGTATAAAGTCCTCAAGGTTCATCCGTATCACAGCATGTGTCAGAATATTTTTAGTCAGAATAATATTCCATTGCATGTATATACCACGTTTTTTCCCTCCATTCCTTTGTCAGTGGATACTTGGGTAGCTTCCACCTGTTGACTGTTTGTGACTAATGCTGATATGGACATGGATGGGCAACTATCTGTTCAAGTCCTTGCCTTTTATTCTTTGGGGTATATACCCAGAAGTGAAATTGCTGGATTATAGGATAATTCTATTTTATAAATTTTTTGAGGAGACACCATACCATTTTATACAGTAGCTACACCATCACATTGCAGTTTTAAGGTGCAAGTTGTCTGTCCTGTCTTAGAGAAAAGAAACGGGCATTTCTACTGAAAAGGGAATCTTCCACTCATATCCAGCTGCTGTTATTTTTGTGTCCAATCTACATGAGTGGCGGCAATTTTGCCTCCTGGAGGACATATGGCAATGCGTCATGTTCACGACTACGCCAATTGTCATGCTTCGGGATAGGTTCCAGCCCATACTGAGGTCCAGAGGAAGTGGGTGGATCAGCAGAAACAACACTCGGGGTCATAGGCAGGTGAATATGGTTTTATTCAGCAGCAGCTTTCATCAACAGCTTTCTCACACTGTCCGCCCTGTCTTGGCTACTTAATCCGGCGGCCCCCACACACAGCTTCATGGCCCGCTCTCCCTTGCCTTCAGGGTCAGCAGCTTCATTAACTCTTTCTTTGGGCGTGTGTCCTGGCTCCCCGCAATCTGTTTGCAATGACAGACAGCTCTGACTCTCTCTTTCTGTGGGCACAAGCGCAAGCATGCCTGCACATTGTCAACGGGACAATTATACCTTTTACAGACAATAGTGGTGTACAGCCAAGTGATGGCCTTCTCATGTTATGGCTATATGGCTGTGATAACCAGTGGAATTATACGCCTGCGCTCTAAACTCGCTGAGTCACGGAGGATGTATAATTCTACCACGGTCTATCCTTGACCAAAGCACAGCCAAGTTCCTTACACAATGTATGGAGACGTTTTTTATTGAAACGACTGGTGAGGGAAGTGCTGCCAGCGTTTAGCAGGCAAAGGCTAGGGATGCTGCTGTATATCCTATAATACACAGATTGGTCCCTCCCCGTCTCCCTTAACCAAAAATCGTCCATTCCAAAATGTCAGTAGTGCCGAGATTGAGAAACTGGCCTATACCCCGTAATCAGCCCAAGCCAAGCACATGAAGGTGCAAAGCAGGATAAAGGTTGATGCTGCCCCCGCACCTCCCACTCTCGTCCTAAAGAGATTTGGGATAGCTGAACTGTACCACAGGGAAGAGGGTGGTTGGTGCTGGAACGGCGTCTGAAAAGAATGCTGTGAATGCCCCAAAAGGAGGGACAGTGTCATTCTGGACATAAAAAATGGATATCTTCTGATTTTCTCCTTAATAAAAATGCCATGGAAGCATGTTTGAAGCTGTGCAACCATATGCTTTAAGCTACGTGGGGTGTGTTACTGGGCTGGTGACCAGGAAGGTGAAGGAGTCTGGCTGGAGTGCAACCAAAGACACCACTTTCCATGGCTCTGGGGCATGAACTCTCAGTACTGCTGCTGTAGATGCTCCATGTTCCAGGTTCTGGAAGGCTGCCAGTCACTATGAGTCTTGCTGAGAATTAGCAGTTGGGCTGGTCAGGATCTGGAGTGTGCGAGGTCTAGACCAGCACTCTGTACATGGGAGCTCAGGGTCTCCTGCCGTTGCTCTTAGTCAAGCGCTTATCCATGCCTTCCTTCAACACTTATCTAAACAAACACGAGTTCGTGTTTGTCAGCATTGGGCTAGATCCTGGGGACACAACAATGCCTAATGAATGAGGTCCCTGTTCTCAGAGCACTGAGGGAGCAGACATTCATCAACGAATCACATCTGTCAGCATATGAAATGCTCATCGAGATAAGACTTATGAATGAGAGAAAGGTAGTCTGGGGAGCTTGCGTAACCTGACCTAACCTGGGGAGTTGCAGAGGCCTTAGGGAGGAAGCGATGCCGGAGATGAGAGTGAAGAGTGAGGCTGGTGTTTAAAGGAGTTCTCAAGAGCTCCTAGTACGGATAGGAAACTGGGTTCCTCCTCGTGCCTCTCGTTTTCCCTGGCCCGCCCTTCCAGGTGCGCGAAAAGCTGTGAGTGCCACAGGATCTCTGGAAGGCTGGGTCTTGGTGGTGCTGGCAAGGGAGACTGTGTTCTGCTTTTGGTGGTGCTGGTAGGTGGGTAGGTGTGGGCGGTAATGACGGTGAGGGAATAACAGAATGAATGCACTGGAGAACTATTACACAGTTGCTTAAGCCCTGGATGGAAAATCAGTTCTTTTCCCAGCTGTGGTCTCCACTGTGACTTTAGGCTAATCTCAGAGCCTCACAGGCTTATTGCACAGTGGAATAAATCAGCTTGCTCCCCTCCACCCTGCTTATCTCACTTAGTTAAAAATGTAGGCCAGGTGCGGTGGCTCACACCTGTAATCCCAGCACTTTGGGAGGCTGAGGCAGGTGGATCAAAAAGTCAGGAGTTCAAGACCAGCCTGGCCAAGAGGGTAAACCCCTGTCTCTACTAAAAATACAAAAATTAACTGGGCGTGGTGGTGGATGCTTGTAGTCCCAGCTACCCGGGAGGCTGAGGCAGGAGAATCGCTTGAACCCGGGAGGTGGAGGTTGCAGTGAGCCAGATCACACTACTCTACTCCAGCCTGGGTGACAGAGCGAGACTCCATCTCAAAAAAATAAAAATAACAAAAATAATGTAAACAGTACCAGGGGACCATACCAGAACAAGCTGGTTTTCTGTAGCTCTGCAGGCCCTGAGCAGAGTGATAAATAAGAGATAATTATGGTTATTAAGACTAAAAGATTTTTCAAGGAGGGCCAACTAAACAAGGTTAAAGAATCAGGTGTAGTGCAGTTGCAGAGAAGGCCGAAGAAGCACTCAGCGCTAATTTGCCAGGACATGAAGAGTAAGAATTACTTGGAACCTATAATATTGCTTTCCCCATCTTCGCTGACAACAAAAGGAGGAAACTGGCTTGAGATGTAGACAAGAAGGACTGGGATTAGACAACAGGGGGATTTGGGGTTGGAAGTGCTGCTGGATCCAGGAATGGTGCCTAAGGTGAGCTGTGAACTAGCCTCTCCTGGTTCATGCTAACAAGAGAAAAGTGTGTGGGGTGTTTGGGTGAAAGGCATGTTGAGGGTCCCGTTGATCTCTGAAATTTTCTTGCAGCTCATTTCTTGCTCCAGCCCAGTGTGAGAGACCACATTTTGAATCAGATCCAGCAATCCTAGGCTGAGGGTGGGGAAGGAGGAAGGATTATCCCAAGGAAGGAATGTGAGCCTGACAGGAGCTTGCGCTTTTACCCTACCTCAGGTGTGACGCTTTTTATTTCCAATGATGCTAATAAAATCCCTGCTTGCAAAATTGACTCTCTCCTTACCCTGTGTTCTTCTACTGTAGCTTTTCAGACAGCTGGTTTATGGATTGTTGATAAGTCAGAGATTCTGCTGAATGCTAAGCAGATATACTTCTAGAATCTTTGCACACTCTCTCTCACTCTCCTTCCTTTTTTGAAAAGCCCATTCATATTTAATTCAATTCTTCTAAATGGCTTCCACATCAGCCTGTCTTCGCACTTTATAATGCGTCGTAGTCTCTCTTAATGCATGTACCTGCCAAATTAAGCTTTATGGCTTGTCCGCTAGAACTGCCATAGGATCAAGCCAAGTGTTCTTGCCAGTTATGTTATGGGCTTTCGCACCTCCCAGCTCTTTTTTATTGTTGAGGTTGGTATGTACCTTTCTTCTTACAAAGCCCTGTATTCACTGTCTTCAGCTGTCAGTCACTTGCACACTGGCAATTTTGCAGTTACCTCTTAGGTAGCTGGGAGGAAGGGAGATGGTAGGCTGAGAGATAATGAACTCTCTGGGGAGTTCTCATTTGGAGACCTAGATTGTTTGGCTGTGAGGGGACACTTGCTTCAACTATGCAAATTAGCCTTGGCCTGAGGCCGTTGCATATCAGGCAGAAGGCCAGAAGGGAGCAGCAACAGCTCAGCTACTTTGCTCTTGGGCCATCAGCTGGTCTCTGCCCTTCCCTCCTTGTGAGGTCTGAGTCTGTTCTAGACTCAAATCCAATGATGACCTCCTCCAAGGGGGACTGTCTTGTCCTGTCCCCCTTTAACACACAAATACTCTTGGGAGCTTGATACCTTAAGCCAATGGCAGTTGAGATCTTATTAGGAATTCCTTACCAGTCAGCCGGGAGCCGGAGTGGAACCTGGACTCAGGGCCTGGGTGTGGGTCACTCAGAGGGAGGAAGGGGGATTATCCCATATCCCCTCAGAGCTCAAGGACCAAAATGTGTGTCTGCAGACACTTACAAATGCAGTGCTGAGGCACTGGGACACCAGGGGCCTCCAGCAGGAGAGGCCTTTAAAAGTAAATGACCCACCCCGCATCATGGTACGGGAGAGGAAAGGGGGCTTAGGGAGAGCAGGGAAGACAGGGTTTGAAGCCTGGCTCTGCCATGCACCCCTTGAGGGGCCTCAGTGGGCCATGAGTCTCTCTCTGTCTTTCTGCCTCCCTGCTACTTTTTGTTGAATGCTTTCTCTATGCAGGCACTGTTACATGCTTTACATTCATGATTGCAATTAACTTTATAACACTACGCCGTGTGGGTATTATCCTGAAAGTATTTGGTCCCGTACAGTTTGAGTCCTTTACAGATGTTGAGAGTGCTGGCTTTGGAATCAGAGCTGGATTTGACTCCTGGCTATGTCATTACTAGCCATGTGACTTTGGAGCAGGTAATTTCACCTCAAACTTCATCTGTAAAACAGCGATAATAGTGCCTAGCTCAAAGCGTTGTCATGGGAATTAAATGCAGATAGATAGATAAATGCATATTTACATATTTATTTATGAATCACCTAGCAAATGGCCTAGTACATTAGTAGGCACCCAATCAATGGTAGTTGTGCTAGCATGGAAAGGAGGAGGGGGATGGTGAAGCAGTCTGGATGCAGAAGCTTGCTACTGGCTTTTGTAGCCTGGGCCGAACTCTAGACACTTTCTGGCAGAAGACTCTGCAGTCCCAGGTCACCCCCGCCACTGGTGAGTGTCAGTATTAACCAGTACACTCTGGATTGTTTTCAGAGGCTGCATAAGGAGCTACCGCTCAGCCTGGAGGAACTGGAGGATGTGTTTGATGCCCTGGATGCTGATGGCAATGGCTATCTGACCCCAGAGGAGTTTACTGCTGGATTCAGTAAGTTCTGATGGGTGCTGGGGACCGCAGGGTTATGGGTCTACTTAGCACTGTTTAAGGTGCATTCCTGTTCCCTCTAGACCTGGGGGGCAGGTAGTAAAGCTTTCCTGCCCTCCTTTCAGGGACCTGGAGCTCAAGGTCTCCAGGCTCTGGATTGCTTGGGCCTCCTCACATGCCTGTCTCAACTGCTGACATTGCTGCTTGCTCAGTGCCCACTGCGCTGCCATTAGCAAGTTCCCTGCCACTGGGACTGGCAAGGGAGATGGATGGAAGCTCTGCAGAAGGCATAGCATCAAAGGGGGAGCTGTGATGAGATTTGCAGCCTCTCCTTTTCTGCCCTCATAGAAAAATGGCCAAAAGGTGGGACAACTGGATGGCTCATTCCAACCCAAGTCTGGCTGAATCTTCCAGGTTGAGGGATAACAGCTATCAGAGGAATTTCTAGAAGGTTTGAACAGACTAGCCACTCTCAAGGTAACCAGGAGGAAGGAGAATTGAGATCTATGAACAATATAAAGAAACCAGACACACTATCCTATCAGATACATCAAAGGCAAATTTTACCACACATCTGCCTCATGTGTGGGGGCATATAATTTTCTAGTAAGTATCTGATGCCTTTCCTGACCTTCAGGAGCTTCTAATTGACTTGGGAGGATAAGACAGAGTGCTGTAATACTGGACAGTATGCGTATGGAGGAAGTACACTGCAAACTGTTAAGGAGCTTATAGATGTGAAGTCTAGTGATGCGAGCGGGAGCCTCTGCAGTCAGGGTGCTGGAATGCAGTGCAGGGAAAGGCCTTGTTGCTTAAAGAAGAAATCAACAGAGGTGCGTTCTAAGCCAGATGTCAAGGGACTGAGAACCACAAAGGAGCACCATACTTGTCTTGCGTTCTGCCGTTCCCAGATCCTAGCATCACTGGTGGGGTGTTTGTGGAAGTGGAAAAGACACAGAATCTGGAACGTGTCCACGGACCTACGTCCATGGATCTTCACTGGAGGGGCTTTCCCTTTCCTTCTCTCAGATGAACCTTCAGTGATTCCTGGCGGGTCAGAAAGCTGAACTCTTCCTGGGGGGGTCGGTCTAATTCAGATCCTTGTGCCCTGCACCCCCTAGGTCACTTCTTCTTCAGACAGAATAACCCAAGTCAGGAAGATGCAGGTGAGCAGGTGGCCCAGCGCCACAAAGAGAAGGTGTATCAGTCCAGAGGGAACGAGGATCTGGGAGACATGGGCGAAGACGAGGAAGCCCAGTTCCAGATGCTGATGGACAGACTTGGAGCCCAAAAGGTTTTGGAAGAGTAAGTGGTGACAGTGATTTGTAGAATGGAGACCAACCCGAGAGGAGCCTCTTCCTGTGTCCATTCAACAATTAACCTTTGTTAACCACGTGGTGTCGGTCCCTGCACTGGAATGCAGTGCAGGGAAAGGCCCGTTGGTTCTGCCAGTGGGGGGCCTGTCCTTTGTGATGACCTGACTGCATGTTGGGCTCTGTCTCTGCTTTTTACTTTATTTTTCCGTAGGAAACATTCCTATTCTCCTTCTCTCCCACCCCCGCACCTTCCTCACTCCCGGCCATGCGTTATCCCGCAGTCCTTGGCTCAGCCTTGCTCCCCATGGGGCACTCACACATCAGAGGTCTGTACCACGCCCTCAGGGTTTTTCAGGGAGTTCTCACTAAGGCTTCCTGTCACTGTCAGCTCCCCAGCATCTTTACCTCTCCAGGGTCTCTACAGCTACGGTGCCTCCCAGCTGCCCCAGCTCTGGGCGCCTTCCTGGCAAAAGCCCATCATGTAGCAGCATTTGCACACTGTGTCCCCAGCACACCAGGCTTGTGAAGCAAGCCAAGGTGGGAAATTAACCTGTTTTTAGCAGGCCACTACTTGGAAAATTTTAGAAGGCTGAGATCTCAAACAAAACATAATTACCCCTCCACCTTTTTTTTTCCTAAAAAGTGCTTTGGAATAGACACATGGATCTAAGCCCTGACATTGAAGTAAAGTAAAATGAAATAAGCAAAATGTGATGTTATAGCTAGTAGAAACCAAACAGAGGGCCTGAAAAGCATGTAATACCTTCTGCCCCTTTAGCCTCTGCCTTTGGCCTTTTTGTTTTGGGGTCTCTAGATCTTGGGCTAGGTGTGTGTTTCCTGCAGGGTGGGAATGCCCTACTGATTGCAGCTGACATTTCCTGAGCTTGGGAAGAGAAGGGGCTATGGTGGGAAATGATAAAGAGGAGGCAAGAGAGAAGAGGCCTATATATGATTTGCAGGACGAAGCTCTGTGAATTTTTCAGCAAACAATTTGGTAGACTGTGGCAGAATTGGGAAAGGCTGGCAAAAGCGTGTTCCAGGCAAGAAAGGGATAGGCAAGGGCCTAGGAAAGATCCTGGTGGGGGTGCTACACAGGAAGTGGATCTCAAGACCAGCAGCAGTAGCAGCGTTGCTGAAGGCCTAGAAGGGGCTGCAGCAGGTGTGGATCACAGAGGGTGCGGCTGGGCCGGTGGAGGGGGCACAGGTGGGTGGGAAGTTCATTAGTCATACACCTGACCCAGCTTCTCCAAGGACAAAAGGCCAGAGCACAGAGACCATTCCTGGTGACAATGTGACACCTCCTTCTGAAGAAGGGGGAAGGAGAAGGCAGTGCAGGTGAGCTGAGGTGCTGTAATGGAAGGAAGGGGCCTCTCCACCCAGTCCGCACTGCAGGGCATCAGCCTTCCTGGCCGGGTTCTCAATTAGAGTCCACCAGACGTGACTCTGAGGACCTATAGCAAAGGCCAGTACAGAACTGAGCCAAAATGAGATGTCCTGAAGAAGAGGAGGTTTTGTGGAGGTTTCAAGAGTGGTCTGTAAAAACTGATACACAGAAGATGGCGGCCAGCCCCTTCCATCCTCACCAAAGTGGGCTTAGGTTGCAGCATGAGGGAAACATTCATGGCTGTGAGACCTCAGATAGGGAAATAGAAAAGGCTATGAAGATTTGAGGGCTCTTTGAAGATTTTGCTCACTGAAATGATTTGTGTGTTGTTCTGGAAGCAGTGAAATGGATTGATAAACCTCCCAGAATCCCTTTTAGCCTATACTCCCGTATCCTCCCAGGAGGGGTGGCCTTGGTGTGTTCTAGAAGTTTGAGACTGGACATCTGCACTTTGGCTTTTCTTGGTGGCCTGATTGGCTGAGTGATTTGACAGCTTAGTGAGCATTGGCTTGTTTTTCGTCAAAAGTTGGAAGACTTGTCCCTTTCCCAGAAATCTGGGGCAAGATGTTGTTGCCATGACTAAGTAGTTCAAAGAGTGTTGGAAGATGAGCAGGTGGGTCTGCAAATCTCGCTGGGACTTTAGCTCGGTTGGCTCCAACAGGAACCTGGCAGGTGTGGACAGACAGACGTAGGCTGGCAAGGTGAACCTTGATTTTACAATGCGTTTACTTCGTGATGGCATGTCTCAATTCGTTTGGTTTGCTGTAATACACTGCCATAGATGGGGTACTTTATAAATAACCAAAATTTCTTTCTGGCAGTTCTGGAAGCTAGGAAGTTCAAGATCAAGGTGCCAGCAGATTTGCTGTCTGATGAGGTCACATTTCCTCGTTCACAGACAGTTGTCTTCTCACTGTATCCTCATATGGCAGGAAGGGTGAATGAGCTGCTTCTGGACTCTTTTATAAGGGCACTAGTGCCATTCGTGAGGGCTCTGCCTTCATGATCGAATCACCTCTCAAAGTCACCTTCTGATACCATCACGTCAGGGTTAGGATTTAAACATATGAATTTGTAGGAGATATAAACATTCAGACCACAGCAGGGAACAACCTGCCACAGGGATGGGAGGTCACCATGGTGTCTCTCTGAGATCCTCTTATTTCTGAACCCTTTGTCACATCTAAATTTTACCTGTAGGATGAAATAAGACCCCCCACAACATGTTGTGTGTGTGTTGTGGGGCAGGGAGGAATGGAACTCATTCTGAAAAACAGAGAGGCTCCTTACCTCCTCTTCTCCCATTTCCCAGATTCACCCATGACATCCAGTACAGTGCAAGGTTTACAGTAGATCATAATAAATACTTGTTGCATTCATAAGGAAATGGGTGGGTGGATGGGTGGATGGATGGATGGATGGATGGATGGATGGATGGATGGATGGACGGATAGATGGATGGTCTAAATAAGTAGGCGGATGCTTGGATGGGATAGTAATAAGGAAATGGGTGGGTGGATGGATGGATGGATGGATGGATGGATGGATGGATGGTCTAAATAAGTAGGCAGATGTTTGGATGGGATAGAAGAAAGAACTGGTGGAAGTGATGGATCAAGGAAAGGAGGGAGAGAGGGATGAAGTGTTAAAGAGATGACCAGATAACTGATCAGAGGTGGGCCTCTTTCTCAGTGGTCCTCTTCTCTGCTGGGTGCAGAGAGTAATGTCCATTCCCCAAGAGCATTGCTAGCATGGCATTATTGAATATCACTTCTGAATAATATTTCTAAAATATAATGCTTAATATACAAGCACAAAGGATTTTATTCCTTATCCTGAGGGTTCCTGGTCAGAGCTATCCTCAGATCTTCTGTTTTTGGAATATTAATGGGAGACAAGCCACATTTATGTTTCTGTTTTTGTGGTTTCTGTCTTAAAGTGATTTATTAGGGAGTACTTCCAGAAGAAACTGATAAGGAATTTGGGGAAGTGGGACAGGGAAAGGAAGTAAAACAAATAATGGCGTAATTTTAGGAAAAGTCCTGGTTCTCCAGGGATATTATTTGTGTAGTCATAATAGTATAAACATTTACTTATTATCATATTTGGGAATTGGCATACAGAGTTTTAAAACAATACTGATTACAGAACACAGTGTCGACGGCACTAGTCCCACTCATGTGGGCTCTGCCTTCGTGATCTAATCACCTCTCAAAGGCCTCACCTATTGATCCCATCATGTTGGGGGTTAGGATTTAAACATATGAACTTGTGGGAGATATAAACATTCAGACCACAGCAGGGAACAACCTGCCACAGGGATGGGAGGTCACCACCCATTTCTCAGTGGGCCTCTTCTCTGCAGGGTACAGAGAGTAATGTCTATGCCACAGGGGCGTTGCTAGCATGGCACTATCAAATATCACTTCCAAAGAAAATTTCTAAAATGTAATGCTTGTTATATAAGCACAGATAATTTTATTCTTTATCCTGAGGATTCCTGGGGAGCCAACAGGAATCTGTTGGTGACAGATTGTCAAGGTACAGATGACTGTAATGGACAAGCAAATTTTGGAAAGAGCTCAAGAGAAGTATAGGCATACAGATAGATAACTTTATCCTCATAAAACAAGGGTCATAAGCGATTTTCCATAATTAAATTAAATTAATTAAATGTGAAATATACACTACATAAAGTCTCAAAGTTTAACAGAGTAAATAATCAAAATGTAATTATGTTGAAAGGATGGAAGGAGGTGAAGGACTTATATTTGCAATAGCTGGAAACTTGAAAGATTAAGACACAGAGTGAATATTTAAGTAACAAAAGACTTTGAGAAGACAATGAACTGAGCTAGTTATTACATCTTGTTCTATAGATGTGAAAAAAGTGTTGGAAAATACATATGTGCCCATTAATTTAAAAAATCAAACACCTGATTGTTTGGGGGATAAGATTTATATTTATTCTCTACTTTGCTAGAACAAAGTTGAATTGGTAATTGATAATAAACTAGCCTGTGAAGTTTCACTTGAACTCTACTGTTTTTTGTTCTATAACTTTCAAACTTGATGCTATAACACTCTATTGCCTGCTAGCTGTGAGAAATTATTAACTTTTATTGAATTAAAACCTATCCTTTTTCAGATTTGTGTTTAACTTAGCTTGATCATTGACTACAGATTTTTTGGTTTCTCCAGAAAGGGAGAACAGGGTCCACCATGTGTGTCTCCTCCTCATTCCCTCCCTGGGTATCAGCCTGAGCCCCTGCATCTCTGCCACTGAGCCGTGTACACACGTGCCTCTGAGCCTTTGTTTATTGGCCTCCCGGTCTCCCAAATCTGTCTCGCCTTGTCTTTCTGCATGCGCACATCTTTCAGACTTGCTCCTTCCCTTCTTTTTGCCTGTCAGTCATCCCTAGTGTCACCAGGCCACAGTGGGGTGCTGCATATTCTCTTCCCTTCCTGCAGCGACAGTTGCTTTCTGCCATCCATCACATGGCACGTCTTTACCTTTCAGCAGTGAGGACCATCCTTCCTGGAGGCAACAAGCTCTCTCCTTTAGCTCCATAGCGTGTGTCCTCACATGCACTGGGCTCCTGTCCTGTCTTCCTCCTGGCATTTGGAGATGCACCCGAGCATGTTGCTGTGCACACTCAGCCCCATGAGCCCATCGTGAAGGCCACAGGAGAACAGAAGCAGCAGAGCGAGGTGGGGAAGGAGGCCAACACTGGAGTCAGACAGAGCCCGATCTGGACCCCTGACTCCATCAGTTACTGCTGGGTGATCTTAGACAGCTCACTCCACCTCTCTTCACCTGCTTCCTCATCTGTAAATGGGGTAATTGCAGCTCCTGCCTCATAGGGTTACTGTGAGGACAAAATGAGCTGATACCCTTGAAGCTCCTCGCATGCAGCAGGCATTCGGTCCACGTTAGCTACTGTCATCTTTATGGTGATTCTGACGGTACTGTTTCTGGCTGTCAGTTTCCTGTCTGGGAACCTCTGTATTTCCCATGAAGCCTCATTTCCACACTTCCACATGAGCATCCCTTCTCTTGCAGTGAAAGTGATGTCAAGCAGCTGTGGCTGCAGCTGAAGAAGGATGAACCTCATTTGCTATCCAACTTTGAAGATTTCCTGACCAGAATCTTCTCCCAGCTCCAAGAAGCCCATGAGGAGAAGAATGAACTGGAGTATGCCCTAAAAAGGTGGGTACCCCAGTGTCAGCCGCTTTCTGTAACTATGTGTGAAAGAGACACACAGTGCACTTTCTCTTAGATCTTCTGCCAGAACGTTGTGTGATGCCTCCTTATCGCTGTCTGCCAAAGTGGGGACCGGGTCGTATGTCTGTCACGATATATGTATTTTTAAGCTCTCCCTCACCTTTATAAGCTATATGATAGGCACTATTCTAAATACTTTTTATACACTAGCTTATTTAGTCCTCACCACAACCCTTTGAAGTAGGGACTGGTTATCATTTTGCACATTTATTATCTGCACATTTTGCAGGTGGAGGGTTGGAAACCCAGAAAGGTTAAGTAGTATGCCCCAGAAGGCACAGCTTGTAAACGGTAGAGCCAGGACTTGGAGTGAGCTAGCCGGGTGCCCGTGACCAGAAGAAAAATCACTCTGATTCCCTCCAGGCAGTAAGGCCCCAACATACTGGGCCATCCCCCAGTGCCAGATCAGCCTACTTTGCAGAGGTGGCATGTTTGGTAAGGTGACCTATAGCCCTGCTGAATGTCCCTCCTCCTGGCCGCTCTCTCCCATCACGGCCTCATGTATCTTCATCTGCCATATTTGCCTCCAAGACCTCTCCAGGAGACAGGACCAGGCAAGTTAAGCAACATCTGAAGAAGCTGCTGAAGAACTGAACCAGAGTCAGAACAGGCAGGTATATCACAAAACCGGGGCAAGCCTGCTAGACACCAGTCCCTTCATGAGAATCAATGCATGGTTATGGGCACCATGCTGTTCTTAGTCCTTTAACACACATTTACAGCCATGAGCTCGCATTTTGTGAACATGGACTTAGACGTGGTATGACTAGGGATGGTTCATAACCCTGAAGGTGAGGCCAAAACACAGGGCTGGGTTTGAGTAGAGCTTGGAAGCATACAGAGGAGGCCCTGCCCCCTGCTTCTGCCACGAAATCTTGTCCACACCCAGAGATCTGCTCATATTCTGCAGGAATCCTCAACAATCCCATGGCTGTGCAGTTCCACAGACCACCTGCTCCTCCATTCAGATACTTCCAGCAAAGCCTGGAAGGCAGTTTCAGAGTCTGTGCCGAAATAGTCTTAGAGCAAGCGTGCAGCCTCTAATTGCACAAGAAGAGATCACCGTGTGTCTTGCTGTGTAGATCATCTATTTACACATTATTCTGAGTCCCGGCTCCTTTTCGTCTTGTGTCTCCCCAACCTCAACTCTAAAAATAACTTGTAGATAATCTATTTACACATTATTCTGAGTCCCGGCTCCTTTTCGTCTTGTGTCTCCCCAACCTCAACTCTAAAAATAACTTGTTGAGGTCCATTGGGTATACACAGATCTGGGGAGAAAGGACTCTTAGGACTCTGCATTATGAGGAAGCTGAGGCCAAGTATCACCGGAGGAAACATAGTTTGGCTGGAGGACTGTTTAGAACATTCTGGGGAGAGGCTCCCAAAGCTCAGAGAAGGGAAGGATTAAAGGGTGTATTTTTATATAGCTATTACCTAATTAAGAATCAGACAGAACTGGCCGGGCGCGGTGGCTCAAGCCTGTAATCCCAGCACTTTGGGAGGCCGAGACGGGCGGATCACGAGGTCAGGAGATCGAGACCATCCTGGCTAATATGGTGAAACCCCGTTGCTACTAAAAAATACAAAAAACTAGCCAGGCGAGGTGGCGGGCGCCTGTAGTCCCAGCTACTTGGGAGGCTGAGGCAGGAGAATGGTGTGAACCCGGGAGGCGGAGCTTGCAGTGAGCTGAGATCTGGCCACTGCACTCCAGCCTGGGCGACAGAGCAAGACTCCGTCTCAAAAAAAAAAAAAAAAAAAAAAAAGAATCAGACAGAACTGAGTTTGATTCTTGATTCTGCCATTTACTAGCTGTGCAACTCAGGACAAGTTACCTAACCTCTCTGAGTCTCAGCTTCCTTATCTGTAAGATAGGGATAGTATCCATCTCACAGAGTTTTGAGTATTAAATGAGATAATGCATGTAAGTATTTGGAACAGTGCTGGCACTTAAGTATCCAATGAATGTCAAAATAATAATTATTAGTATTTTAAATAAGTATCTTTATTAGTCTTAGAGGATTTGTCTGGCTGAAGTGGAGAGTTTGAGCATCAGTATAATCAGAGGCTAAGTTTAAGGATCCCTGTATCCTTCCAGACAACAGTATAGTGACTTGCTGCTCAAAGTATAGTCCATGGACCAGCAATGTTGGCATCACCTGGAAACATCTTAGGAATGGAGAGTCTCAGACCTCACCCCCAGCCCCACTGAATCTGCGTTTTAACAGGCTGTCCAGGTGCTTAGCGTGTAACTTTGGGAAGTGGGAGGCTGAGCATCAGGAGTTCTGGGTTTGAGTCACGTATGGCTTTGCAACCAGCTAGCTCTGTGACTGCTCAAATTTCTCAGCCTCTCTTGAGGCTTGGTTTTCCTATCTGTAAAATGAGGGGACTGGATTAGTTGCTGACCCCACTTCACCCCTTCTCCCCTCTGACCCCCAGCACTGATCACCTGGAGGAGCCACAGCAAAAGTTAAATGGTCTCTCCCAGAAAGGAAGGCATTCTTCTCTTCTCTAAGGAGATAATTGCAGTCTGAACTGGTGGGCAATTACCCAGCCTTAGCCTGCATCTCATCTGCAGGACCTCCTCTGCTGGCCTGCATTTCTGCAGGAAGAAACAAGTGCCCCTGACTTGCTGGAGAGCTGCTTAGCCCTGATATCCATCTTTAAGGGCCTCTATTAGCGGTTTGTCTTCATTTAGTAATTGTGCTTGAAACGTTGTTGAGATAAAAGTCAAGCCACTCTTGGCTGCATATGCACAACCAGCTCATCCAAAGGTTCCAGCCTCTCCATGCCCATCCTCAGTCAGTATCCCTGCCAGCCATGCCTGCTCTGGAGTCAGCTGATCAAGGCCCACTCCTGGCTAGGGAACTGTGTTGGGATTGGGGACTCACTGAACTCTTTGACCAGTCCCATTCCAGAGGTATTCTCCAGATGCAGAACCGGAGAACTGCAGACTGTATTGAGCAGGGCACTGAAATAGGAGGCAGGAAGGACTGGAGCCCCTGCCCAACCACTGGCGCTTACCAGCTGTGTGACCTCAGGCAACTTGCGTTACCTCTCTGTGCATCAGTTTCCTTATTGGAAACCTCTGAAGTTTTCTACTAGAGCCTCTTTCAGTCTCTTCTATTTTTTAAAGAAAGGTGGGTCGCACCTTGCTGGTGGGCCTGTCTATAAAGGCACTTGCAACTCAGACGTCAAACAAGAGACTGGAAATCCCAACAGGGTATAGGATATGAAAATGGGATTCTTTACAAATGACTCAGGGTGAGATTAAGTGATTCTGAGACATCTAGAAAGTGAGTTTGGAGGTGTGAGGTTGTTTGTGGGAGGGACATTTTCAGGTTTTAGAGAGGAAGTTGGGGATGGCCTGATTTGGGAGGGAGCCTAGAGGAATCCCGAGGAGAAGAGCGGGTTCTGGTGAGCTGTGAGAATATCTCCCAGGCACCTCCACACGCTCACTTTTCATTATAGTGGATGACATTTCAATGAGCGCGTATCCCGGATGCTGGGGATGACAGCTCAGCTGTCGGCTGCATGTCGGCTGCATGTCTGCCCCAGGCCAGGCACCGGGGGAACAGTCTGTGTGTAACCAGTTGCTAGCATCGAACCAGCACTCCCTCCATGCCAGGCTCTGAGTTAAGCAAAGGGAACATAGAGTCCCTCTCCTTGAGGAGTTCGTGATTGCACCGAGGAGACGGCACTTAGGTGCCTGGAAATTCTGCACAAGACAGACCAGAAAATCCTCCTGCAAATGAAACATTAGACAGCATTGCCATGGGCAGCACAGCCTCTACTTTTTCTCCTCGTGCAGACCACACACCTTCCTCCCACAGGGCCAGAGAAAATGAGGCTGACCTGTGGGGGAGTTCGGCCTCATGCAGGTTAGGCAGGACACACACTCCCTGTCCCCAGCCTCCCAGGCTGGGCCATATCCCCCAGGTCGCACTGCGGCTGTGAGTGGAAAAGGGCCACCCCAGCTTCCTCCTCACATTTACCCCCACTTCCTGGGAGGGGGGAGCTGGCAACTGAGGTGGCTGAGTGCTAGGCAAGCCCTCGATAGCTGAGGCCAGGAGAACCCCTCAGAGCATCCTGGAGCATTGTCAGAAACAACCCAGAGTCCTCCTCACTCACGGCCGTGAATGTTTTTTTAACCTACATATCAGAAATAGGAGCAGGAAAGGAGTCTGGGAGCATTCAGTCTCCCACACCCTTGTCCTTTTGCACAGAAGTTGAAGAAATGCGGCCGGGCACGGTGGCTCACGCCTGTAATCCCAGCACTTTGGGAGGCTGAGGTGGGCGGATCACAAGGTCAGGAGATCGAGACCATCCTGGCTAACATGGTGAAACCCCATCTCTACTAAAAATACAAAAAACTAGCCGGGCGAGGTGGTGGGCACCTGTGGTCCCAGCTACTTGGGAGGCTGAGGCAGGAGAATGGCGTGAACCCAGGAGGGGGAGCTTGCAGTGAGCTGAGATCCGGCCACTGCACCCCAGCCTGGGCGACAGAGCAAGACTCCGTCTGAAAAAAAAAAAAAAAAAAAAAGAAGTTGAAATTTCAGATTCGAGCCACTTCTGGGCCTCCACTTCTCTCCAAGGAAGGAAGGTGAGACTTCCGCTGAGCAAGTCCCCTCCGCATTCACAGTGCAGACGTGCAGAGGTCTTCACACTTCAGCACGAGGGATATAGTGTAGACATTGGGGAGAACTTAGAATTGGGAATGTCTTTGCCATGGAAAGCATCCTCTGCATTTACCTTTTTCTGGAACAAAAGCTTGAGATCTCCAAGGGATGTAGAGCAGTGCTATCTGGAGGCAGCAGTAGATCCAGACTTTTCACCAGAACCACTTTGGGATGCCAGAGGTCCCACCCCAGTGGGGGCCAGTTCAGTTGTCTGAGGTGGGGGCTTAACGTCTGTATTCGTAATGT